GAGGAGTTAACCCCTCCTGACCTGTGTCCTGCTGCAGAGCATCCCCTGGCCGTGGACGTTTGAGAGTCAGTGTGATAGATGAGCAACGGGATGGCTGACTCACAATTAAAAGGCAAATATCCTGTATATATATTAGGAGAAGTTTTATAGATTTATAGTTATGTTTTACTCCCTTGTGTTGTTATCAGGGCTGGCCTGGGTTTGGGACATTTGGGAGGGTCAGTTTTTCACTCTGCAAGCACCTTAGCTCCAGTCAGGATTTAAGGCAGAGATCTCCACCCCTGGGCAGTGAAGGAGGAGTCAATGGACAGAACTTTGGGAGGAGCTAAAGGGTTAAAAGGTAAAACCTCCATGGTGTGGGTGAGCACATGGTGGGGAAAATCCTCTGTAATATTTTCTCTATTCAGTCTTCTGTTGTATTTTTGATAAGATTTTAATAAACCTTTTAAATTTTGGAAGTGAGCATCGTTTCTCATAGTCAGGGAGTGGTTTGGGCTGGAAGAGACCTCAGAGCTCTTCCCATCCCACCCCTGCCATGGCAGGGACACCTTCCACTGTTCCAGGTTGCTCCAAGCCCTGTCCAGCCTGGCCTTGGACATTTTGAAGGATTCCACAGCTGCTCTGGGCACCCTGTTCCACTCAATCTGCTCAGGCAGACATTGTGAGAATATTCGGAATATTCAGTTAATGCACAAATCTGGTGAAAAGCTTAACCAAGTTACAATTTTATTCTAAACAGACCTTTGTGCCCATCCTAATGAATTATTTCCTTACCATAAATTAATTTACCTGCATGGCCACGTTTGGGAAGTGTTACCAACTTCAGAGCACAGAGCTGGAGGCCAGGGTCACAAAAGGAGCCTGGGGAAGAGCCAGGAGCTGCTCCTGAATCCCTTGAATTTTTGGCTGATGCAGTAAAGGCCAGTGCTGTCACCCAGCCACGGTCCTGCTGCCCACTAATTAGCTTTGTTGTCAGCATTTTGCCATTGGCAGGAGGCAGCCAGGTGCCTCTGGATTAGCCAGGGTGTGAAAAATTGCTTTCCAGCTGGCCTGGTGACCTTGTGACAGCAGGAGAGAATTCACAGGCAGAAGATGGAGATGTCAAGATACAAAATTAGGGACGATGGGGAGCTGGGTCTGCCCCTTGAAGTGAAACAAGAAAACCTATCCTGGCCTTGGTTTAGGGTTTCCTGTCTGTGATCCAGGAGATTCTGCTGTTTGCCCCCTGCAAGGCACATCCTGCTCACAGGAGTGAGGTGGGAGCAGAGGCAGCTCCCAGCCCAGCCTGAGCAGCATCCCTGCCCAAAAGCTGGGTCAGGAAAGGTGGCTGATGTGCTCAGTGGTTGAAGAAACCCAGCCCAGCGTGGGATTGAAATAACAGGGCAGGAGATTTTTTCTCCTTTTAATGCCTTTATTAAAAGTGATCAGCTCAAGGTTGGGTGGCTCGACAGGTCCGCGGCTTCTCCGTCGTCGCTTCCAGGGTGACTCGGAGGAGGAGGAAAGCGCAGCTTTGTCCCCTGGGGAGCAGAGCTGGGGGGTCCCGTCCTCACGAGAGCAGTGGGGGTAAACCCCATGTTAGAACTTTCGAGTTTTGCCGTCCTGGGGTCTTGGCTCCAGCTGAGGGGCAACAAAGGGTCTCAGCATCTCTGCAGGCTTGGTACTTTGTTCCTCACGTCCAGACATCATTGTGATCTCTTAATTCTGTGTTGGCTCGTTGTTTTTGGGGATCTTTTGGTAAGGTTGGTTGGGTGGCTTTCCCATGGCGTGCTGGTTCTGAAGTTATTTTGCATGCCCTCTGATGTCCCTTCCTCATGTCCCCTCCTTTCACTGTCCAAGCAGAACGGCTATCAACTTAGCTTTAGGCAGGGCAGTCCTGATACAAAAGGAGCAATTAACAAAAACGACTGGTGATTGCAATAACAAACGGGTAGAACTCCACCTAGGGAGCAACTGGTTTAACCTGTTCACTCTGCAACCTTTTTTTTTTTTTTTAAATTGGCAGATTTTTTACTTATAACAGGGACGGACAGAGAAGTGATAATTGAAGGAACTGAGCAGCCTGCCCGTGGCAGGGAATTGAAACAAGATGATCTTCAAGGTTCCTTCCAACCCAAACCACACTGGGATTCTGTGGGGATGGATCCAGGAAAATAGGACACTTAAAGATCAGTTAAGACTGAAGCCAAATTGAGGGATTGTTTACAATGAAAAGCTGGGAATTTGCATCAGAATGCAGGAGCAGGGCTTTGACAAAGCAGGCCATTAATTAAAGTGCATCAATTAAAGGGGGTTCCTCCCTATTTTGTCTCCCATGGTCTAACTCAAACTAAAATTTTCAGTTTCAACACTTAATATTTTCCAAATATTAAATTAATAAATTAACAAAACTTTGAAAAAGTTTTACTGTGGGATATTTCACTGTTGTCTTAATTTTTAAAGTTTTTTCTAAACCTTCTGATGTTTACATTCTTGTAATGAACTTTCTCACACCCTTTATGTAAATAACTTACTGTTTTGCATTCTTTTATGGAAGAGGAAAAATTTGATGGACTGTTGGTTTGTCCAGTGTCATTGGAGAGGTGGCACTGTCACCCTCCAATCCACTGTCACTTTTGGAAATCTATAAATGTTGGAGTCAAAAATTAAATAATTCTCTTTCCACTTTGGAAGAGCTGCATGTCCACATTGTGTATTTCACGTCCTATAGAAGAAACTCTGTTTTTTCCCTCAGCTATGGTGACCAAAAATTCCTGCGTGCCTCCATCCCTGTCCTGTGCTAGCATTAACCTGATGGAGCAGTTTTTGTGGGATTTCTGGTGCCTGATCCAGCCTGAAACACCCCCCCAGTGCTCAGCCCTGCGAACACAACCACCCCTGTCTGCTCTGCTTCCAGCTCCCTGCTAAGCAGCTCAGAGTCTTAGCTCAGAAAGTCCCAGCTCTGATCCTTGCAGACAGCAGCAGCTTTGCTCCCAGCCCCGCAGAGCTCCCAGAAAGTCGTGGATTATCTGCTCACCCTCCTGCATGTGCTGCTTCCTGCAGGGTGAAGAGGCACGAGAGGAGCTGCGCCCGCTGCCGCTGCGGGCACGGGGACAGTGACAGAGCCCAGGGGCCCAGCCAGCCCTGGTGAGTGACTCTGGGGGTGCTCCTGGGGGGGCAGAGCCCTGGGAACGGCACAGCGCTGGGATTTGGGGCAGCACCCCCCTGGCAGGAGAGGGGCTGTACAGAACCCTGGTTCTGGGGCACTCTGAGGGTTCCTCCCTTGGAGCCTGCTGGGGGAGGCTGATTTCCCTTCGCCTGGGCTGGTGTGATGTTCAAGGAGTCAGAGGTTGGTGGGTGTGCTGAGAGCCTGTCCCCAGTGCTGCTGGGGCTGGGGTTGGGTCACTTGAAGCCCAGGCAGTGTGCAGTCACCATCCCTGGAGGTGCTCAGGGAAGGTGTGGATGTGGCACTCAGTGCCATGTGTTGGGTCAGAGGTTGGACTCCAGGATCTCAAAGGTCTTTCCCAGCTTAATTCTGTTTTTGAGTCTGTAATTACACTCTGTGGGTTGTTTTGGACATGGGTTTGGGCATGTCTGCGTGTCACATTCATTGCCTGTGTTGTTGCTGAAGTTCTGTTTGCAGTTTGTCATGGGGAGGTGAAAATGAGTGTGCTTGGGATAAGCTGGAGGTGAACCCTGCTGGGCTCATCCCAGAGCAAGGGCAGGCAGGGAGAGGCAGGTGGAGATGCCTTGAAAGGAGCAGAGACTAGACCGAGCTAAATGGACAAAATAGGGATTTATTGCAAGGCCTTAAAGGGACAGCACAAGAGCCTGGCCAGGGCTGCCCCCAGACTGAATTTAAGATGGACCCTGGTCAGGAGTTTTTACAATTTATCAGTTTTGGTTCATCTGCATGTTTGGTTCAGCATCCAATTGCAGATCCAGATCATGAACTCTCAGCCCCCTGCCTTGCCCCCTTCTCTTTGCATTGTTTGTGCTCCTTGGGTAAAGGTTGTCCTTGATCTGCAGCTGGGGAAGGATTGCTTTGTCAAACTGTGAAGAGAAACTGCTAACACCTAATAGGAAGTGTCAGAGTTACATACCTGAACAGAGCAGAGAATTTGGAAAATACCAAAGTTAAAACCATCCCTGGAAGCGCTGTGCTTGGGGCAGGCCAGGGGCAGAGCTGCTGCTGTGTGGGGCTGGGGCCAGGGCAGGCTCAGAGCTCTGCTGCTGTCTCTGTCCCTTGGGCTGGGAGGGAACATTCCCCTGGCGTTTCCGTGCTGGAGCTGCGTTTGTCAGTGCTTAGGGCAGGACAGAGGAGTCCCCATCCCCACAATTTAGGAAGTTTAACATCCCCCACACCTAAGCTTGGCCAGGGTGCTCAGCTGAAATCACCTCTGTGAAGCAGAGGCTTTATGGAGCAATGGGAAGGGATTTAGGGATCAGTGCAGTGGTAGCATGACCTGAGGGTTGGGAAATGCTGCTGGGAATGGCTGTGCCTGTGGGAAACTTGCTGTGCTTGCTGAGCCACGAGGTCAGGGAGGGCTCTGCTGCTCTGCTGGGAGTTTGCTTGGGCTTCAGGGGAGTGAAAGCTTCAGCAGAGGGTAAAGATTTCAGGGTGTGCTGGTTCTGTGCTCAGCCCATGGCAGGAAGATGCAGCAGTGTGGTTTTTAGCAGTGGATTTCTCTTCCAGCTCCTGGGCAGATGGATGAAAGCAGAAATTACAGATGAACAGAATGAGTTGGAAAGGGACCTTAAAACCCATCCAGTTCCCCCCTGCCATGGGCAGGGACACCTTCCACTGTCCCAGGCTGCTCCAGCTTGGCTGTGGGCACTTCCAGGGGTGGGTCCTCAGTTTCCAGTTCAGCAGGGTTTGCAGAACTTGGCTTTTCATTGGTATCACAGCTGGAGTGTGCCTTTGGATATTGCATAGAAGAGAGAAAAAACAAACCTGATCAGATAAAACTTCTTATCACAGAGGCAGGAGCTGTGCTGCTGGTGATGGACCCCTGGAGATACCACCCCAGTAAATAAGAATCTTATTTGGAAATTAATCCAGGGAACTCCAAATAGCAGCAGGGAAAAGACTCACCTGAACTTCTTCAAATGAAAATGTGGGAGAAAGGGAACTTGGGTTTGATCAGATTTGTCTATAACTATTTTTTGTTCCCAGGTTAGTGTACCTGCCTGTGATGGTAGTGAGGATATTCTGACACAAACTATTCTGGCACACAGATAGGTTGAACAAAGGACCTGACCAAAAACCCTGTTCTGCATGGCAAAGACAGCTACTGAACCCTAATTCCACAGACCAGGATTTAACTCAGCAAATGAAATTGTAGGATTCAGCAGCATTGAAGAAATCCATGGATTTTTACTACTGAAAACATTTTTACAAAGAACAATGCCAGAAATGGTTCCAAATTTTGTTTTGGTTGTTGGCATATTCAGTAGAGTTTTGAACTGTGGACCTTCTTTTTGTACAAGGTATTTACTGTAAGTGGAGGGAATTGTCTTTTATCCAGCAAGTTCCTCCCTCCCTCAGGACTCCTGACACCTGAACACTTCTGCCTGATGATTTGCTCTTTCATTTTTCACCTCTCCCTGCACTTAACTTTGGCACCCAGAATAAAGGCAGATCCCAGAGCTCCCTGTTCCTTGGGAGATATTTCAGTGGGGAAATATCTGTCATTGAGGCAGCTGGAGAAGCACACAGAGAGTGACTGGAGAACAAGGAAGGCTGATGAAAATGCCCATTATTGCAGGAATAGTGTGGGAAATAGCTGGTACTGAGTCCATCCTGACAGGGCTGGGAGTGCCCTCAGTGAGAGCACACAGAGGAGCATCCTTGGGTGCCTCAGCCGAAAAGGGATGGAATGCTCTGAAATGTTGTGTGGGTGGAGGGGCCAGCAGGGCTCTGAGCACAGATATTCCAGGCTCTAATCACCTGCTCAGGTCCTTGTCAGGGCAGTCCTGCCTGGCCAGGATTAGGGGGGCACTGGCAGCCCTTTAAGCTCCCGTCTGTGGTGACCTTCTTAGCGCCCCGTGGGCCAAGGAAGGAAGGGATCTGACAGCTGCTTAATTTAGAGAACACCAGGTCAGGAGGAGGCTGCAGAGCCTGGAAGCTGGCAGGGGCAGGAGCTGGGCAGGGCAGCAGAGCCCAGGGCTGTGGGATGGGACCCTCACAGGGCTGAACCTAAAAAAGCCAAACTGCAGCGCTGAGCTCCCCTCTGTGCCCAAGGTGCCTCTGTCAGGGAATCAGGGTTGGATCTGTGAAATGCGCCAGTCACTTGTTTTTAAAGTTTTAAAAGTTTAATAGTAATAAAATGGTGATAAAAATAGTAATACAATTAAAGTAATAATAATTTGGACAATTTGAATTAGGACAATATGAGACAATAAAACAAAGAGTTACAAATGTCCAGGTACCTTTTTCTGGGCAGCATAAGCCCGAAAAAGGACCCACGTTAACAGAGGATTAACCCTTAAAAGCAACAGCCTGTTGCAGATT